TCTTAGAAACAAACAAATGGACAACAGATGAAAAGGGATCACATGAGCGTTAACCAAGCTCAGCCATGCCTTCCGGTGCCAAATAAAAGCAAACTGTGAACAATTCTCTTGTCTGATGGTCGGAAAACAAGCTACCTAAAAAGGCACACATAGGCAGTTCCATTTTAGTTTTAAAGTGAATGTGCCCCTGGCAACGAGGGTGATGCAGACCTGACTGTGCAGCTGGAAGAAGACTGGGCAGAAAGGACTGTCAAGGTGGAGAGCGTAGTCACGCTACAGTGCAACTTCCATCCACTTGAGGAGGGGGGCAGGTTACCTGAGAAGCAAAACAGGCCCACACTTGCTTGAGTTCATTTACTCATTTGTAGTGAACAATTTCCCAGAGCTCTACCATTGGTGAAATCTATTCACACAAGCCTGTGTGCACCTTGCTTACTGGGTCCTGTCAGAGATCTGCATTTGAAAAGAGGCTTAGATTCTGCAAGAAAATAGCTGTGGTGACACTGGGGGAAGAGAGAGAGAGGGAGAGGGAGAGATGATGGCCCGGTGCTGGCCAGTCTAGGGGTAGATCTTTGATGTGGTGGAAAAGGAGAAAATTTGCAATATAGATTAAAAAGTAGGCATAAGAAAATAATAATCAGTCGTTTTACTGGGTAATCTGACACTGTTTAAAAAATGCACAGAGATACAAGCACAGTGGGCCCATTTCAAAGCACTTTCCCAGAAGAGCTTAGTGTCACTAGGGGCAATGTAAAATGCATGGAGTGAAGAAACCAAGGAGTGAAGAGACCAAGGCCCGCCTTCCAGCTGGTTCTGCACCGCTGAATCAAAAGACTAGGCGTGCGAATAACACAGGCTGTAAACAGCACAAGGCTATTTGTTTCTGTGAGATTTTGAATATTGCAATCCCTCAGAGAAAGGTCTCTAACAAGGAAGGGGTTAGCATTTTTGTTTTCAATTATTAACAAAAAAGAAAAAAAAAATTACACTCAAGACAAGTTTTACTATAACACCCTGAGAAAATCTAAGCCTACAGGATCCCTGTGTTTTGGGACACCAAGCTCCCACAAAGATGAATGTGGAGAGTTCAAAACCAAGATTGCCACTCCTCGAAGCACTTGGGAAATTCTGTAATTACAAAGTCATATTCTTAGAGGATTTATACCTGGCTTAATAGGGTTACAATTTCTATTTCAAAAGGCTGAAAAATGATTTTAAATTATATAGCTGACTTCCCAGCAAAAATTAACATGAAAATGGAACATTAGAATTTGTAAGGGTGAGTCAATGAAAATGCCATTGCCTTTATACAAGGAGACAGAAAGAAATAAGACAAGAAAATTAAACAAGAAATAAAAAGTAAACAAACCAACAAATAATATATTAAGATCACAATATAGTCTATCTTCCTGATAAAAAAGAAGGTATATTTGGCAAATGTAAAATATTTTAGAGTCTCTTAAAAGTCTTAAAAGATCCTTGGATGGCAAAAATGGACTGCATAAATGCTTCACTGCATTGGGCAAATCTGCTGTCAAGGACCTCTTTTAAAGTGTTATGAGCAAGGATGTCACTTTAAAGACTAAGGTGCACTCACACTGAGCCATAGCATTTTCAGTTGCTTCATATGCATGTGAATGCTGGACAGTGAAAAAGGAAGAGAAAAGAGAAAAATCAAGGGATGCTTTTGAACTGTGGTATTGACATACCATGAACTGCTGAAAGTACAAATCTGTCTTAGAAGGTACAGCCAGAGTGCTTTTCAGAAACCAGGATGTTTGAAACTTGATCTCATACACTTTGGACATGGAATCAGGATCCTTTTGCCATGTGGAATGTCTAATACCTCTTAGTTGAGAGAGAGAGAGAGAGAGAGACACCCCCCCCAAAAAAAAAAATATGACTAGGACTTTTCCTCGTTACTTCAGCCCAAGCCTTTTGGCTGAGTTCTTTCTCTATTGAAGGCAGGACCCTGAACTATATTTTCTGCTAACAGTTCTTTTTTAATTCCCAAAAAGCCTTTATTGCGCAAAACCCCAAACAGGCTGAAATCAGAGCTGGATCCAGGATGCCTGTGTAGCACTAGTGTTACTTATTTCATTCATCCACAATTTGTGTGTTCCAAAAATATCTACCGATTGCCACCCATGTGGAAGAAACGAACACATTCAGTTCACCAGGTAGGGGTCTGGAGCTGGAGGAATGAACTTAAGATGAGCCAGAGGGATGCTGAGGTTCTCTACATGCATCTAGAGAGGTTAGCAAGCAAATTAGAAAGGGAGGGGCTAGCACCACTGTGGACAGGTTAATGCAGATGCTCAGCTTAACCCTTCCACGTGCAAAGTACACTCACTTCTCCACAAGAATTTAAATATTAGATACACTTTCTCTAACTTTCCAGTTGGTCTGGATTTTATTTAGCAGTAGTATAATTACTGTAAGAGAATCCAGAGGCTTGGAAGCCTGGGTAAGAACAACAAGGTTAGAAATTTCAGCAATCTTACCTACCAGTTGCCCACACACTCTGAGTAGGGTTTCTTCTTTTGTGAGAGAAATCATTCCTGTTTCAGGCTGTTGTGAGAATGAAATAGCATATACCAAGGAACTTTGCTCCTGAAGTGGGTTGTTTTGTTGGTCTTTTTAAAAAATAATAATTATGGCTCCTTCTCAAGATAATGAATTAATAGGCGATTTTCAACATATAAGATTATTAACTTGATATCAAAGTAATTTCCCCTAAATTAAATTACCTGTTTGTTTTTAAAAAATGCTTACTTTTGAATCCACATGAGACAAGCCAAACATTTTTTATTAAGAACTACAACTTTCAATGTTTTGAGGTTCTCTCTCATGACCAAAAATAATAAAAAGGTTTTCCAATTGTTTAAAACCAATGTGCATGAACAAAATGCAGTGTATATGAATTATTGTGTGCAAATCAACTTAAAAAAAACCACAAAATTGACAGGTTTTCTTTACTCAGTTTCCAAAAAATAGCTGGTGTTTTGGCACTCTGTGCTTTTCGCTTTATCATTCTGCAACTGATGGGGTGGGTGGATGTTGAAGCACTTCCTGGCCAGCTGTAGGAACCCTTGTCTCCCTGTGAGCAGAAAGGATCACACTCCCCAGCCCCCTGATTCTCCACATGACTGGGGGCAAGGATTCCGCCTATTAAAACAGCATGCAACTGCAGGAACCCAGGACATGGGTCAGTGTGATCAGACACCATCAATCCCTCCTGGAAATTATTTCTGAATGAGATTTTGTTGAATAAGCCACACACTCTGCTCTCTGTAGCTCTTAGTAAATCATAAAAAAAAAAGCAAAAGTGAAGACACAGATATCATTTTCCTGTTAGATCCTCGAAGAGTGAAAGATCTGACATCCACACAGTTACGGGTTGTTTTTTTAAATATGTTTTATCATTCAATTAAAACTTATTCTGTCCAATATCATTCATTTACAAAAGAGGAAAATTACGAGTCTGAAAAAAATCCTAAAAGCCGTGCGAGGAGGATCATTTCCTGGCAAGCTGTGAGTACTGAAGAAGGCTACCCAGTTCTTGCTGGAGACGAGATGAGAACTCAGACCTCTCGAATTTTAAAATACAATATAATTTCTTCATTGAGACAATCTAACTATAAAATAAAAATGGGGAAAGCCATTAAGACATAAATTAATGGATTTACCAAAAAGCAGCATACCTATAAAATGATCTAC